ACAAATATGGCTAACCAACAGCTAGTGTGTTCTCAAGAAGCCCAACATAAACACAAAGCAAAAGAAGCTAAAAGAAGCCTTACAAGATCAAAGAGGAACGATTTGAGAATCATCCATCATTTTGTTTCATCTGGGCCACTATGCTCTTCCCTTATTTGGATAATAAGAGTTGTCGCTATCTGCCCTAGTTCCCTCTAATGCCACAGCACAGATGGCAAAGATTACTGCAAAGACCAAAACGGAGAGACCACCTATTGGGACGCAGAAAGCCCTGAAGTAGTTCTTTTGCCTTTGAATCTCTTGAGACTCTGCATGTAAGTGTGTGTGCGTGCTAATGACTATTGCAGTAAGAGGGTTTCCGAGGCTCTTCTCAGACTTTCTAAGTCTATAATTCACAAAAGGATTAAAAACTGCAACTTTTTATGGATCCTGAAGTTTTATCTCCTTCTTTTTTTGTTCTTGATTACCATGATCAACTTAATGACGCTTTTTAATTTTGTTTTACTATTTGTGCTGTAAGCCTATTGTATTTTCAAAACTAGATTTTTAGAAATGTAAAACAAGAACAAAAATATCATATAATTCAAAATTACACAGAAAGTATTTCTTGCCTGCAACAGAAATCAATGTAATCTTCCCTGGAAAACCTTGAGAAGTTATGAGTTTGTAGCCGTTCATGTGCCTTATTCATAGCACCAACAGCCCTCAGACTTTTATTAAAGGAGCAAAAGTTTACTTGAGTGATAGCACAGATTTGTAATAACAAAATAGCATCCAGAATTGTGGTATTATTTCTAACCAAATTTGATTGGAAATCAGAGGACAGACCTGAAGCGATACCTCCGCTTTGCTTGGGGTGAATCTTAGATCTGGAAAGTTAGAAAGTATCTAAGTAGACATTACAATTTTCATCTTTAGTAAACTGAGGTCCCTACAATTTAAATGAATTTTCCCCCAATTACATTATCTGTTAGTGACAAAATTATTACTATAATTCAATTTCCTTTCTTCTAGCTCAGTATTTATAATTTAAAATATTAAAACAAAATACTGTCAAATATAGTACATCATTTATTAATGCAAAGACTAATAATGTTAAATTCACTTCTAATCAAGTTTGCCAAAAATCTATCTTTTGAAATTATACTTGTAAGTACATACTCTACTCCAAACCACCCAACTTAGAAAACGTCATAGCTGAACACCCATCTTAAGTTTTTCTAAACCAGGAAATTTAAGCCTACCAGCTACTGATTCTATTCTTGTGACCTACTGCATGGATTTTCTTTGGCAGCCCAATAAAAACCTCACATGTTGAAATAATTTATTTCTGAACCTAATATCCCCCCACAAATTCTTCCATTTGATTAACTTTTTTTTCTCTTTATCATCTCATAGACATTCTAACAGAACAGGAAAATGGCTCATTTATCCAATTACAAGAATAAATCAAAGGAGGGAATCTGAGAAGGAAGGGTGGTGGGAGGGAGAGAGAAATGGAGAATGAACTTTCATAAATTTCTTGGACACTATACATGAAGTAATTTAAAGATAGCTTCTTGGGGATTTTCCTTATAATCTAGTTACAATCTATTTAAGAATCTGTTAGGTTTCAAAAAGCTGTTTCTCAATCTATTTGCTTGAACTTTCAAAGTAACCTTCAACAAGCAGCCCCTGACGCCACTGGGTGTTGGGTCCTCACAGAGGTGTTTTTTTGGCTGGGCTCTGTAGGGTTTTTCATAACTGTAAAGTTTGCAGCTTAAACATTTGTAAGAGAGAAGCGTTTTTACTGAGTGCAAACAAGGGACAGAGTATAGAGGCTGTTGGAGTTGAAATTAAGGGAAGTTTAACCTGGGGCAGATATAGGCATTGGCTGCCCTCTGTCATTGACTTCTTTTTTTTTTTTTTTTTTTTTTTTTGTGACGGGGGC